GCATAACACAAAGCATTCATTTTGGTGCTCAGTAGGAAATCTTTCATAACTCTTTCTTGAGTGATTTAGTCATCTTTGAGTTAAAGGGAAAACTTCACTCTGAAAAGTTTTGTTTCTTAGATATGTTTTTGCTATTTTAAAGGGAGAAACTATGGTCTCTAAGCAATGGTCAGGAATATTTACTATAATTAAATTAATCTGCGAATTGATACTGCACATAAAAATTCCCATCCCAAAGAAATATTGAAGAAAATATTCTGGGATCCATACAATATTATAAATTCTACATTAAATAATAATTATGTTTGTAAAATTATCATCTATAACCCATTTGTAACACATTTCTCAAGCTTCCATAATACTTTACAGGTGCTAATAAAATTTTGTATAATTTTATAGAATCTCTTTGAAGTAGATAAGAGGTCATTATACAACTAAGGTTTGAAGAACAAACACCTGTTAGATGCCTGTATAAATACAGAGCAAGTCATTAATGAAAGTTGCTAACAAGTCTGAGAAATCTAGAGAGCTAATTTCTGATCTACCTACTAAATTTCACTATAGTATAAATATTAGAACTTTGCTTTCTCAGGACTGCTGGGAAAAGAATTATTTGCAAAATCACATGGAATGAGCTAGGAAAGGCATCAGAGCTAAGAGCCTAGATGTATTCAGGAGGGTAGCTTGCTTAGCAGCATTAGATAATTAGATGTTAGAGGTGCCCTGTAATTTGTACCAGGTGCAAGGTGCTCAGTAATGCCAGCAGATGATCTCAGACCTGGGTGAATGCTCGAAACACCTGAGGATTGTTCAATAAATATACCTGAGATTACCTAAGGGTAGGGCTCAGATATCTGTATTTTCAAAAATCACCTTCCTTCCTAGCAAAAACAATCATACAAAAGAAAGAAGGGCAGCCAAATTGGAAAGGAAGAAGTAAAACTGTCATTATTTGTAGATGAGATGATACTATGTAGAGAGAATCTTAAAGATTCCACCAAAACACTATTAGAACTGATAAATAAATTCAGTAGAGGAGCAAGATTCAAATATTCAGAAATCAGTTCCATTTTTATACACCAATAATAAATTAACAGAAGGAGAAATTAAGAAAACAATTCCCATTTACAATTGCATGAAGAATACCTACAAATAAATGTAACAAAGAAGTTAAAAGACCTGTACATGAAGAATTATGACATTGAAGAAAGAAATTAAAGAAGATATGAATAAATGGAAGCATATAACATTCTTATGGATAGGAAGAATTAACATTGTTAAAATGACAGTACTACCTAAAGTAATCCATACAGATCAATGCAATTCCTATCAGAATACCAATGGCATTTTTCAAAGAACTAGAACAAATAATTCTAAAATTTATATGGAACCATTAATATCTCAAATAGCCATGGCAATCTTGAGAAGGAAGAGCAAAATTGGAAGCATCATACTACCTGATATCAAACTATACTACAGGGTCATAGCAATCAAAACAACCTGGCACTGGCATAAAAACAGACACCTAGATCAATGGAGCAGAATAAAGAGACCAGAAATAAACCCATGCCCATAGAGTCAATCTATGACAAAGGAGTCAAGAATATACAATGGGATAAAGACAGTCTATTCAATAAATGGTGTTGGGAAAATGGACAGATACATGCAAAAAGATGAAACTAGACCATTTCTTACACCATATACAAGAATAAACTCAAAATGCGTTAACAACTTAAATGTAGACCCAAAACCATAAAATTCCGAGAAGAAAACATAGACAATAACTTCTTCGACATTGCTCTTACTAATATTTTTTGGATATATCTCTTTGGGCAAGGGAAACAAAAGAAAAATAAAACATTGAATTACATGAAAATATAATAAAAGTTTGGAAGCCATCAACAAAACAAAAAGACATCCTACTGAATTAGAGCAGATATTCACCCATGACACATCCAATAAGGAGTTAACCTCCACAATTTATAAAAACCTCTTACAACTTAACACCAGAAAAGCCAAACAATCTAATTAAAAAATGGGCAGAGGACCTGAATAGACATTTCTGCAAAGAGGACATGCAGATGGCCAATAGGCATATGAAAAGTTGCTCAACATCACTAATCATCAGAGAAATGCAAATTAAAACCACAGTGAGATATCACCTCACACCTGTCAGGATGGCTGTCGTCAGTAAATCAATAAGTAACAAGTGCTGGTGGGTATGTGGAGAAAGGGGGACCTTCGTGCACTGTGGGTTGGATTGCAAATTGTTGCAGCCACTGTGGAAAACAGTATGAAGCATCCTTAAAAAATTAAAAATGGAATTACCTTGTGACCCAGCAATCTCACTTCTGGGTATTTATCTGAAGAAATCCAAAACAGTAATCCAAAAACATGTACATCCCTATGTTTATTGCAGCTTTATTTACAATAGCTGAGTTATGGGAGCACCTAAGTGCCTGTCAGTAGATGATTGGATAAAGAAGAGGTGGTCCATATACAGAATGGATTTACTCAGCCATAAAAATAATGAAATCCTACCATTTGCAACAGCATGGATAGACCTAGAGGGTATTATACTAAGTGAAGTAAGTCAGAGAAAAACAACTACCATAATATGATTTAATTTGTGTGTGGAATCTAAAAATCAAAATAAATGAACAAATAAAACAAACAAACTCATAGATACAGGGAACAAACAAAGTTGACAGATGGGAAGGAAGTTAGGGGGCTGGGTGAAAAAGATGAAGGGATTAAGAAGTACAAATCGGTAGTTACAAAATAGGCACAGGCATGTAAAGTACAGTTTAGGGAATATAGTCAATAATATTGTAAGAACGATGTATGGTGCCACAGGCATACTGGGTTTACGGTGGTGTAGGGATCACTTCATAAGTTATATTAACATCTAACCACTATGCTGCACACCTAAAACCAATATAATACTGAAAGTTAACTGTAATTGAAAAATAATTTTTTTAAAAAAATCGCCTTCCTACTCCATCACCTGATTTCAATGCTCAGTGATTAGGGGTTGACTGATCATTGGGAATCATGTATCCTTACTCTTTGTAACTGCTAACCTGGTTACGATATTCAAAGTGCTTCCAAACGTGAGCCCAGATGCCCAGATGGAGAGAAAGGTTAGGGAGGAAACATTAGAAGTGCACAATTCTCTTAAAAACTGAAAAGAAATGCCCCTTAACCATGTTGAATAACTAAATCAAATTCAAGAGGGATTGCAAAGCATAGTCCTTTATTTTACTTCTTATAAAGGCTTGTATTTTTAAAACATATACTTTACTATTAAAGAGGAATGTGGAATAGTTCAGTCAGGAACGGGTTCGGGTGAGGGTGTGAGGGCGGTAGCAGTACGTGGTTCAGAGTGGTAGCCCCAGGGTCTGGAAGAGAGCCTGCCTCATTTTAGGCAAGCAGTAAATTACCTTTGAATAAAGAAATAATTCTGGACTGGAAATTCTTGTAATCAGAGAAAAGAGCGAGTCTTTGAGCCTTGTGTACACTTTTATGTTGCCGTTATTAATTTACTTGTTCTTTTAAAAACTGCAAACATGAAGTCACGTAACCAGTAAGTGGCCACCAAGGTCTGTCTCCTTCATACTTAATCGCTGTGCTAACCTCCTCTTTAAGATAAACTAGATGAAATATGTGTGGAAACTTTTTAAAAACCAAATGTAGTAGACATATTACTAGCAATGATTGCCTACATATTTCTCCTGCTCATTTTCTCTTATTCATCTTTCTATCCCCAACATGTAGCTCATACTAGGCACCTAATAATGTGACTGACATTTCTTAAAAAAAGGAAAAAACACTGACTTAATACCATGAAAACTGAAAATTTTCTTTCTGCATATACATGACCATCCCCCGGTGTTAAAACTGTAATTTTTTAAAACTGTGTATTTTATTCTTGTTGGCATACCTCGGATAATTTTCTTTCGCAGTAATGGAACATTTTTCTTAATTTTTAACAACTGAAATGTAGTCTGCAATATCCTTGTAATGACATTTACATAGCCATATTTCTGTAGATGGAAAGCTTTCTTGTTTCTTTGTTTTTTATCCCATGTTTGACTACTATAGAATAGATTCTTGGGAGTGAAATTTCCTGATTCTAAAAGCACATATAATTTTTTGATATGGTGCTAAACTGTGCTCAAACAAAAAAAGCCTTTCTAAAAGTTTATATAACTCACATTATATGTTGTATATGCGTTATATGCACCCCAGCTGGCTTAGGTACTATTAAACTTCTTTTTCTTATTTTTGTTAAACCACATTTAATGGAGAAAATGATATTTTGTTATTATTTTACAGTTATATCTCTATAGCTTCAGAACACTGTACCTAAGTGTAAAATATATATATATATTTAATATAAATGTCAGCTAATATCTATTTACTTTATAAAATATCAAACTATTCTGTTTCTATTTCTCTAAATTGCTATTGAAGTGTAACTTTGATATTTAAGTATTTATTTTTTCCTGTGTCATAATTTATATGTCTACTCTTCTGTTATTGAACATTTAGTGTCTAATTCCTCACATAGTAATGAAAACCCCTGTACAATATATGTGGGTGTGTTTTTCTTTATTAGAATAGTTTATTAACATAAATTTTCGATACTGGAAAAAATGCTTACTTTATAATGCTGAGAACAACAGAATAGAGAATGAGGTAATAATTAAGTACTAAATAAAATCATGTATACCTGAAAATAGATAATTTAAAAATATTTTAGTATTAAATGTATTGAAATAACATTGGCTAATAAAATTATATAAATTTCAGGTCCACACTTTATTATAAACCATCTGTATATGCTCACCACCTTAGGTCTGGTCTTCTTCTGTGACCTTATATTTTTATTTTTTATACCTTTTCTTTTTTTGGGAGTTAATCACAATGTGTATTACAACAGGCCTGAATGTCTGCCACATATTTCTGGGGTCAAAAGATCTGTCTCTTTCTTTTAGAAAATTTACCAGTGGTTTGGCTCCTCGTGCAACAAATATGAGCGTGTAAAGGCCAGCCAGGTTGCCATTGGCATTCGGGACAATGAAAGGAATGGAAGATCTCAACTAATTGTGGTGGAAGAAGGAAATGAACCACCAGAACTTATACAGGTAATGTGACTTAGGTTGTTTTGAAAGGCTACAACTTTTTCATTTTTAGTATTTTTAATTTTTTTTAATTTATTTTTTTGTTCAAATATATTTGTCTCCACCTTCCCACCACCACTTTCCCCCGCCCTCCTCCCCCATCTCCCTCCCTCAGTCCTTCCCCACTTTGGTTTTGTCCATGAGTCCTTGCTCTGTGTTCCTTGACTTGCCCCTTCCCTTCCTTTTCCCCGCGCCCCCTCCCTTCTTCCCTCTTGACTCTGTTGGTTTCTTTTTTCTTTCAGTGTTGCTGGTCGTATTTTCCTTGCAGCTTTGTTTTGTTGGTTATGTTCCACTTATAGGTGAGATCATATGGTATTTGTCTTTTACCCCCTGGCTTATTTCGCTTAGGATAATGCTCTCTAGTTCCATCCACGCTGTTGTAAAGTGTAGTAGTTCTTTTTTTCTTTCTGCTGCGTAGTATTCCATTGTGTAAATGTACCATAGTTTTTTGATCCCAATCATCTACTGATGGGCACTTAGGTTGCTTCCAACACTTGGCTATTGTAAATTGTGCTGCTATGAGCAATGGGATGCATAGGTTCTTTTGAATTGGCTTTTTGGGATTCTTAGGGTATAGTCCCAGCAGGCATGTGTGTGGGGCAAGATGTATGTGCATGTGTATGGGTATTAATTTTAACAAGTTTTCTGCTCCTTAGGCTGAGATTAGGAAAGAGGAAATATAGTTATCTAAGTCATGGTTCCAGGAAAGAAGATGGTCAAGACTGTTCTCTCACCATTGGTGTGGCTATTGGAGAAAGACTTGACCCTGTCTTCTGTGATATTCAAGGACAAATAGATAGGTGACTCTTTGGAGGCTTCCTATAAAAATATATTTTGGAAGAAAAAGTAGTTTATTCATCTAGGTTTCTTGACTTTTTTTTAAATGCAAGGATTTTTTTATTTTAACAAGTATTTCATTAAAAGAATTAAATAAAATCTTATACCAAAAGATTAAGTTACCAATATTTTTTAAATATTTCAATAATTTTAAACAAAGGATTAGAAGAAAGAAGCTTATAATTTTAGTACAATTGTTAAATTAATTTAAAAATTGTCTTCATGGCTGTTTATTACCTACATCATTTCCTTACCCCATTATACCAATCTTGGACATTATACCAATCTTCCATTATACCAATCTTCCTCCCTCCCCCAGCAGTCACCACACTGTTGTCCATGTTCCTGAGTCCTTTTTCCTTTTTCCTTTAAGTTTTGACCTATTGTTTTCCCCTTTAAGAAAACTGTGGTGAGTACCCGAGTGGGTATAGTGTATATATTCCCTTAAGTAGGGTCATCAGTCAAAGGGTAGGATCATATTCAGGTGTCTAGGTACATGCTGATGAGTTGATTCCCATTTATTCATTCAGCAAATATTTATTAAACTCCTAAAATGAGCCAGGAACTAAGTTTGCATCAAATACTGCTTCCTTCCATAAGCACTGAGATCCCTCATGAGTTTACTGAGCTCTGTCAGGATGTAATATTGTAAACTATTTTGAATATTTCCACATTTAATAGTAGCATATGGTATTTCCAAATTTTAATTTTTGTAATTTCCTTGAATAGTATGTAGTTTTCCCCAATGATTTTAGCTATTTGCATTTAAAGTTTCTTAAAGAGTATCTTATAAACATATTTTCTAAAAATTTTTTATTTAGAGCAATGTAACGTATTACAGTTACCTAATCCAATGTTAGCCTTTATAACCCAATGATCAAAAATTATATGAGATACAGATACCAATACAGATACAGATATAGATATAGTACAGTTTATTTTTAACCTACCAGATAATTACTCTTTTCTTTTTTTTTAGGGAGATGGTTTTTTAAAATTTAATCTTTACTGTATTTTTTTCCATTACCATTTAGTCCCCTTCTTCCTCCCTCCCCCCAGCACTCACCACACTGTTGTCCATGTCCCTGAGTCCTTTTTCCTTTTTGCTTCATCCCTCTGCCCCCTACTTCCTCCCACCCTTAGCTCCCATCCTGCTCTCCATCTACAAGTCTCTCCTCGTTTATATTTATGTGACTTTCAATGTTTTACTCTTTTAAAACTCTATAATAAATGTTCTTGTTCATAAAAAATTATATGAGATAATTGTGCTGATTACAATGTTTATAAACTTTATTGCTTTAATAATCACCAAACACCAATATTCAAATTCATGGTGTTTTAAAAATAATTTTGATTCAGTGGGAAGCCACTCATGGTCTAATGCTAAGAGAAAAGGCATAATATAAAAATTTATATACAATTTTATCTTAATATATGTTTATATTATAGTTATATATTCATATATACATATACAGGGTCCAGCCGAAGTAACGCCTGCTTGAGTGTGGTTGGTAGGGTACTTATATGGTATAGGGTACTAATATGGATGTAATAATATATAGTTTTAATGTAAACATTTCACCCAAAATGTCATATGGTATGCTTGAGTGATATTGTTATGTTACAGAATTACATGCTTATGATTTTGTAATAAAAGGTTATATAATAAAAAAGGGTGTTATTTGTGCTAAACCCTGTATATCTAAAAGAAATATCCTAAAACATTACCAATATTATCTTTGATTTTTTGGATATGGATGCTTGATATTTTCTTCATTTGTCCTTGTATTTTCAAATTTATTATAATAGATATATATTCCTTTTATAATCAGAAGGAAAAGGTCATCTTAAAAAATTTAGGAAAGGAAGGTTTTCAATAGAATAACATCGCTAATGAATTAGACCTTGCAGACTCTTCAAAACAAATTATTGACCTTTAATATTCTTTTAAGGCCTGTGTTCTAGGCACATAATCACCACCTAAGTCTTCTAATTCTTATATTTGGAAACAAAAGTCTATAAATAAGACGTATTTTGAGTCGATTGTAACTTTTTGTTTTGATAGTTTCAAAGCTATTCTTTTATAGAAATGGACTCAGGAACAGGCTTCATCCTTATACAGTGGGTGGTGGGTAGAGAGTTCATTACCTCTCAGACTGAGCTTTTTCATTATCATCTCGGGTCTAAGTAAGTCCCTTAATCTTTCATTGTCTCTGGTTCCTCTTTTGTAAAATGAGGGGTTGGACAAAGTGGCTTCCTATGGTCACTTTCAGTGCCAGTGACATGAAATTCTATCTTGTTTCTTAGGCAATCATCTGTGGTTAACTCTAATCATGTGTAGTGTGTTCCAGGAAATGACGCCACTGAGGTTGAGGCCTTAACTGTATATGTGTATATTTTCTTTCTCAGAGCTTGGAATAAGTTTAAACTGCCAGTTAATATATTATACTGTTAAAATAAGAAGATGCAAATATGAAGAAAAATACGTGTAAAATATAATTTTGACTATAAAATATTCAATGATAGGACTAAGGGACATACTGCTTAATATAAAATGCATGTTTATGTATGAGGGAATTTCCATTTGGTTTTTTTTTTTAAATCCTAGAAAATACATTGTTTCCATTGAATACATTCATTATATCCTCCATTATATTTGACAACTCTTACACAGTGAACTGAATTTTCAGTGAGGGTCTACTTTTTTCTTAAAAAACATTCAGTGGGCTTCTTGTTTTTATACCTGTTGTTTTGTAGCCTGGTCACAACATTTAGTAGTTTTGGTTTTTTTTTAAAGATTTTATTTATTTATTTTTAGAGAGAGGGGAAGGGAAGGGTGGGGGGAGAGAGAGAGACATCAGTGTATGGTTACTTCTCACATGCCCCCAAATGGGAACCTGGCCCAAAAGCCAGGCATGTGCCCTGACAGGGAATCAGACCTGCTACTCTTTGGTTCGCAGGCCAGCACTCAATCCACTGAGCCACACCAGTCAGGGAGACTTAGTAGTTTTTTAATGAATTAATTGTGCACCTGTGATAAACTAGTTTGTTTAGGTTTTCTTAATGTTGTACCTAACTATAACTGTAGAATTCAAGAGGTCATGAACTTTGTTGGGGGAAAAAAACACAGCTTTGTTTTCACTAACCTTGTAATGAAAATTTTCTCCCATTGTGAATTTAGTCAACAAATCAAAGTAGCATGTGCACTACCTGTGACTCTTCAGGTCAAATTATCATTTATTGCAAAATATTATTTGTTAATCACTAATTGAAAATTATGATAGAGATTACACCTGCTCTTCAGTAATATTATTTAATGGGTTAATGAAGACGCTCATATGTTACTTTATAGTTTGTTTTAAAATATATTTTGATATCTTGATAGTTGCATTCTAAAAAAATAGGTTTTCATTGTAGTACTTTGTGTTGTATTTTACACACTTAAAAAGTATTTTCTTAAAAGAGGTTCATAGGTTTCAAAAGTGGTTCAAACTGGTCGATAGCACACCCATACAAGATTACCTAGTTTAAGATGATGGGCTGCTATTTCTTTTTCTGAAACTCTGTTAGAGAACGATTCTAAAAACTATAAAAATCTTTCAAAATACTTGTTAAAATTCATTTTTTCCCCTGGCTTGATGTGACTCAGTTGGTTGGAGCACTGTCCCATGAACTGAAAGGGTGTGGGTTCAATTCCCAGTCAGGTTGCGTGCCTGGATTGTGGGTTCAGACCTAGTCAGGGCGTGTGTGTGAGGCAACTAATCAATGTTTCTCTCTCACGTCATTGTTTCTCTCCCTCTCTCTCCCTCCATTTTCCTTTCTCTAAAATCAGTGAATAATACCTCTGGGGTGATGATTAAAAAAAATTAAAATTGAACTTTTAAGTAACTAATTTTTCATGGGAATCTTTTAAAATTACTTATCAAAAAATTTGGAAATTTAGATATGACTATTAGTAATGGCTTGAAGTCAAGGACTTTCAACAAATTATTTTTTTTGCTGTTGTTTGTTTTATTGTTTATTCTATTACAGTCATCCCAATTTTTCCCCCTTTTTGCCCCCTTCCACCCAGCCCACCCATCTCTCCCACAGTTAATCCGCTCTCCATTGTCCATGTCTGTGAGTCA